CAGGGTGATCAAGCGCGGAGCGTGCCTTGTGCAGCGAGAGAGAGATAGAGGGATTGTGTGGTCGCAGAGTATCTGATCTACCGCTGGCTGCCTGCCTCTGCTCGCTCTTTGCCGGCGGGCGGGCCGTGCAGTCGGGCGGCGAGGCGGGCGGAGAGAGGAGCTCGTCGAAGAGCTCCTCCGACCTCCGGCTCAGGTCGACCCCCGTCCCAAAGTCGCGGCGGCGGCGGCGAGGTGGGCGGCGACGCCTCCGAAGGCGGCGGCGGCGGCGGCGAGGGAGGCGCCACGGGCTGAGTCCCGGATCCCACGCGTGGGAGCCCGCCGTGGGACGCGTGTGGAACCTTAGCAAAAAACCTCTAATTTTTGGGACATTTTCGACGCTTTTGTCCCATAGCCCATATATCCCGCGGTATTCCGCCGCTTCGCCTTCGTCTCCTTGCTGCGCAGCAGGGTGTAGTTCGGGCCCACCTCCGCCACGCTGTCCAGCAGCTGGGCGGCGCTCGCCATCTCGACCGCGTCGTCCTCCGGCGGAAGCTCCGCGTCGCCCGCGGCCGCTTCCCGAGCGCGCTCGTCGCGCATCCGCTCGTGGTGGGCCTGCCGACGCGCCACGTCGTCGCCCGTGTGCCTCGCCGCCGCGTCCGGCGACGGCATCAGTGCTGTCCGCCCGAGCGTGACTCGCCACTCCACGACCTCCACGACCTCCACGACCGCCGAAAAGCACGACCGCCCCAATCTCGAACAAATCTCGAGTCCTCTCACTAGTTACATACATACCTCGTCGCACACACCGCCATAGCCGCAAACAGTGTACCACACCGTGTGGCGCGTGCTTCTTGGTTCTTGCAAGACGCCCTGCCTAGCGGCCAGAGGCCGAGACATGCTGTGCATGGCCTACCCCCGTCGCTCCGCATCTCGCACCGCCTGAGCCGCCGCGGCGGCTCGTTCAATGGCGATGCACTTCGCGCTCCGGGTCCGATCTGCGTCCTTGCCCTGGTGCCGGGCCAGGGCCTGCTCAGCTTTCCTCCTGGCAGTGTGGTGAAACTCCTGCCCGCACCACGGGCAAACCGCGTCCGCCGGCGCGCTTCGGATCCCCCGGCGGTGCTGCGAGGGGCGGCTGCACTGCGCGTCGGGGGTGCAAAGCCGGATCCGTTTTTCGACGGTGTTCGCCCTGTGCTCCCGGCCAAGCACCTGCACGGCCACCGCCGGCGTCCAC